GGAAAGAGAAGAGCGAGAAGGAGGGAGAGGGCGCGTTTAGACGTTCGTTCCGCTGGTAACAAAGATAACTCTATGCAATAAAAATGATTCAAAGTTTCCCGCAGCGGCGGATGGCGGTTCCGATGGCGGAGCGGTTGACAATGGTGCGTCTTTGTCTCCGTCCCGCGCCACCCTCGACTCGCCGCCACTTCTGTCCCACCGCCACCCCCGTCCGTATCCTGCGACACCTATCTTCCGGTTTAAAGTCCCGGCGTGCGCGCCAGAGAGGAACCTCGCTAACTTTTATTATTTACGACCGATATTTCAGCCAGGCCCGAGCGCATACATTTGGTAGCGAGCGAGCGCGAAGTGTCCGTGCCGACGTCGTTTTACGCGATCGACGTCTTCGAGAAATCGCCGAGGTAAGATTAGAATATCGCCCGATCTATCGTACAAATTCGTCAACATCAGGAATTTCGAATTATCGAAGCTTTATACTAACGAGTTTTGTCACCTTTCTCCACATTGTTTCATTTGTACGAGCAATAGTGACGCGACGACAAGAATGTTGAGTCAAATTGATTAAACTTTAATCGATTTCTGATTTAAATCAATGATGATTAATCGTATCTACCAAACGTAACAAAGGAAATATTATGCCATCGCGTTATTAAAACGACAGCTGAGTGAAATTAATCGAATCCCACGGCTTATCGAATCAACGGGTGAACGAGCGACGATCGGTACCGAGAGACCATCGGACCCTCCGTCCGTACTTATTTCTCTCCTCCTCCTCCTTCTCGCCACCCTCGCGGGTACCTTTATCTACCTACCTAGCTATACGCATACGCGCGACCCTTCCCCCGATGAAGGGTCTGAATTTGCATTTTATTCGCAGTCGTGGAACCGCGGGTCCGTCCGTGCGGCCAGCGCTCTCCTCCGCGGCGCGGACATTTATTTTAATTAAATTACTCCGGAGCGTCGAACAACCCATTTCCTATAAATTATCCCCTCGCCGCTCTTTTGCGTTCGCGCGCGCCGAGGCATTAACGTAACCCGCTGATCCCGCGGTGCCATTGAAATGAAATAAAAGCACCAGCGGCCACAGCGCGAGGATGGAACGTACCGCTTCACCATTCCCAGTCGCTTCCCTTTCATTTACCGCGCAATCATTTTCCGCGAGTGCACCGGTAACGCCAACTAGCCTCAAGTTGCCTCGAGGAAACGAATTCTCTCGTAATGCTTTCCCTGAATTTCTTTCTAGACTTTTATTGATTTGTAGCGACATTATTTAAACCATCACATATTTTTAAGAAATATAAAAGTAATATATTCGCGCTGCCATGAAATAGTTTAAAGATTTCGAAATGCTTCGATTGAAAGAAAATGGTATTGATAGAAAACATCGATTTTAATCAATATATATATTTAGTTTTATAAAATTAGCCTCAAGTTGCCTCGAGGAAACGAATTCTCTCGTAATGCTTTCCCTGAATTTCTTTCTAGACTAATATATATATTTAGTTTTATAAAATTAGCCTCAAGTTGTCTCGAGAAAACAAATTCTCTCGTGATGCTTTCCCTGAATTTCTTTCTAGACTTTTATTGATTTGTAGCGACATTATTTAAACCATCACATATTTTTAAGAAATATAAAAGTAATATATTCGCGCTGCCATGAAATAGTTTAAAGATTTCAAAATGCTTCGATTGAAAGAAAATGGTATTGATAGAAAACATCAAATTTAATTAATATATATATTTAGTTTTATAAAATTAGCCTCAAGTTGTCTCGAGGAAACAAATTCTCTCGTGATGTTTTCCCTGAATTTCTTTCTAGACTTTTATTGATTTGTAGCAACATTATTTAAACCATCACATATTTTTAAGAAATGTAAAAAAAATATATTTGCGCTGCCATGAAATAGTTTAAAGACTCCGAAATGCTTCGATTGAAAGAAAATGGTATTAATAAAAGATTTGAATCAATATATATATATTTAGTTTTATAAAACTAGCCTCAAGTTGCATCAAGGAAACGAATTTTCTTGTAATGCTTTCCTTGATTTTTTTTCTAGTCTTTTATTGATTTGTAGCGATATTATTTAAACTGTTATACATTTAAAAAAATATAAGAGAAATAATCGCGTTGTGTGTCATGAAATGTCCAAAAACTTCAAAATGCTTCGATTGAAAGAAAATGGTATCGATAGAAGATATCGATTTTTTTTCAATTTGTATATATTTAGTTTTATAAAATAAATACATTTTATTGAGAAGCATATATATCGATGCATTGTTTTAGTATGCTTCGAAATAAGATTAAATTCAAAATATAAAATTAAAAGAGAAATTGATATTGTAATATGCAAATTGATCTTAAATATTCATTTACATTTTGTATAAATGACTATTTTTAGGCAATTTGTATATTATTATAAGACATAAATAACTTTAAATAATATAACAAAAACTCTCACATATATTCTATTATTCCATAATTTTAACTGTACAAATATTTTTATCTTTTAAATTGGTCGAGATTAAAAGTAAAAAAATAATATCGCTTTTCATTTAATTTCGTAAATACTTTCTCTAGTAATTAATAACATAAATTTTGTATACTCTCTTTAATTATCGTTATCATATCGTATCGTGTTTTGTTTAAACAAACCGCCAAATTTACGTAAGAAAAATATGGAATATGTTATACAACACGATATAGCACATACCAAAATAATGAAAGTCATCATTCAGACCTGGAGCATCTATATGTAAAATTATCAGATATCAGTGAATGAACGTCGTTTGTGAAGACATCCTTATCGTTTAATGTTTAATACACCATGTGGAAAAGCAGCGCGCGCGTAGCAACCGATGTGTCGTTAAGGTTAGGTAAGGTTAGATTGCGCGATACACACAGCGCGCTACGTATTTACGTAGAGACGATGCTTTCGTATTTACGTGCGAACGACAACAAAATTCTTCGTCAAACGACGAGCATGACATGCATGAGAGAGACAGTACTCACCTGATAAGGGACGTCTTCGCCGAGTTTGCCCCGAGTCGCCGCGACGTTGAATGTATGCACGCAACGCTTGTCCGCATTCCACGCGTACAGCACGTTGTCGCGTACTTCAAGGATGTTGCGTGTCTCCTTAGCACCGCACGACAGGCTCGCTCTGATGTCCTTGAACAGTCGTTTCTCGTTAAGCCGCAACAGATCCGTGCACGATGACATCTTCTCGAACTGCGAAACGACGATGCGAGGTTATAGTATAGCGCGCGGGACCCGGTACAACAACAAACTTCGTCTGCCGCGCAACAGTTGTTACTCCTGCGATCAATATGGCGGCCGTAGGTAGTTTGCAAATCCATCGTTGGTGGCCCTGCTTCGCGCCACTTCTCTCCGAGTTTGTGTACGAGCGGTGCGGCAAATGTATATGATTTCGCGTGCGATTAACTTTTATTTTTCGCAAATATTGATGCTTGCGTATATTGTTCACTATAGCCGTAATCGTTTCGCGAAACGATCGTTAATCGCGATGTAGTATTCGGTCGATTGTCCGCGAGTTTATTATCTTACATCGGAATGATATTGGTAATTTATCGCGAGCGATAGATTTTTCTCCGAGAGCGTCGAGGCTGGTAAATATTTACTTCGCGAAACAACCGTCGCGCGGCGTTGGTGTTTGCTTCGCGGCCAACTTCCCGCGCTTTCATATTCAAGTGGTGCCGCAAGTGTGATTTCGCGGACGATTAATCCGTATTTTTTACGAATATCGACGTTCGTGTGCACGATCGCGGGTTATTAATCGTTTCGCGAAACGCTCGTTGATCGCGTGTAATGTTGTAGCGTTCGCATTTTGCGTATGTTTACGTTCGAAGTAAGTGTGATTTCGCGAGTGATTTTTTGCGAACATCGATGCTCGCGAGTGTATTAAGCCATTGTAATTCCGCAAAATAATTCCGTTCAGTAATGTCGCGTTCGATTCGGCCAGTTTTCCGCGTGATTTATTTTTCGAATGATAGGCAATGTTATCGCGTGAGTGTGTTCCTGTAAGTTCCTGTATTCATCGCAAATTATCGAAACGATGCATGATGTTTGTTCAACTTTGAGATCGATAAGCATTTAGGTAAGCGATTACAACTATGGGATTACAACTGTATTTAAAATGTATTTGTATATATATGTATAACGTAATGTGGAGTCGGTCTCGTGCGATTTTTGCCAAAAATATTAGATTTAATACACATAAATTTGGTTAAACTAATAAAATAAATTTATTACAGTATAAAAAAAATTCCAAAGCAAATATTTTTTGCTTCTAAGGCCCCGGAGGGATTCGAACCCTCGATCTCCTGTTTACTAGACAGGCGCTTTAACCAACTAAGCCACGGCGCCGTTGGATACGGGTGAGTACCTGCAATTTATCAGTGTGTGTATATCTTTCTAAAATTCTAACTTTATATTTTCAAAGGCAAATCATAATTTTTATTTACGACTGCTTCTGTTATTTATATATGTATCTCAGATATTTTCTTAGTACAAGATATCATTAATATTAGAGATGGCATAAAAATATGTCGATACGTAGTCTGAATTTCAAGTATATTCAGTGATTTTTTTTTTATTTTTCTGTTTATAAAATACTTTCTTTTCTCTCTCTCTCTTAAATTCTACAATAGATTACTCTATAAATGTAGATTCTCTTTATTACTTTACCAAAATTTATATTTTTATTAAAGTTTACTTTTTCCACTAAATTGAGTACAAATTTTATAGAATGTGTTTTTAATCGTTTTTATTTGCACAAAGCAAAATATTATTTATATTTAGGATTATATTTGCAAAAAAACGCCCCCGGGTGGGCTCGAACCACCAACCTTTCGGTTAACAGCCGAACGCGCTAGCCGATTGCGCCACGGAGGCTGTTTGATTGTCAATCTTTAATAGATCATAACAGCCTCCATCCTCCCTTTCTCTCTCTTTCTTACTCCATATACATAGTTTTAGTTTTTATATATTTTATCTTTTGCTACATGTATATACGAGAGAAATAATAGTAATATTATCAAATAATAGTATAAAATAATAATATTTGCTAAATCAGAGTTATGCAAGTGAGATAACTTTAACACTGTTAAGAAAAATGTGATACCAAAACATTTTTTATATTAAATCAAATAACAGTTATAAAAAGAAATTATTTAATAGATTATTAAGAGAGAAATACTTATAATTGTATTGACTGTTCCCATTTATTACGTCTCTTTGTGCGCAAAAAAAATGAGAGTAAGTATGTCGATGAGATCTGCAAATTACTTGGTACATGCAAAGCGATTTGCAATTCATTTTCCGATAAGGGTGGACGATGGATTACGCTCTAGAACTGCTCCCTACTACTACTACGAACAAACGTTCGTATCTATAGATTCGTGGCATACTACGATACAAATCGAACAGATGTGTGTCGACGCAAGAAAACTGTCGTGATGAAATATCGCTACGCATTGTAATAAATTTGTTAGTCAAAGTTGCGTCGCGTGTCGGCGCGGCGATAATATGCGCGTACACAACGGGAAATAGTCCGGCAGTTGCATCGAAATTATATACGGTTAATTAAATGGGGTCGGCTCATTAGTAACTGTCTATATGCAAGGCGATGGGCGAGACGCGATTGGAGGGTGGTCCCAAGGTGATTTATCCGTCACGATGGATCGCAGATGTTCGACTGGTACGCGACGCGGGTCATCACAATACCGTAATTAGTATGATAGCGCATCTATATGTATGCATAACGAAAACGCACTATTGCATAATATGTAGATTATAGAAAGTAATTATTGTGCAATATTGTTTTCCGAAACAGATAAAAAATTTAGAACATATATTTCAAGATAATATAAGCCAAATTAAAATCATTGATTGTTTTAATGAATAATTATTTAATTATATCAAATTTATTTTTTATTTCTATATCTATGTCTTTTATGTCATGAGGAGTGAGAAATATAATGTAGTTTGTACTTCGTATTAATCTAACGACTAATTCACGGTGTAAATGATTGATGTATTAATTTCTTTATGAAATAGTAGATATGCCATCACACATCTCAAGATTTGCTCTTAAAGATCTCCACTGAAAGGAGACCTTTTGGTTCAGCAATGGTGACACTAACGATCTGTTTAAATTGTGCGTTTAATTACAAGTAAGAGACAGTCGCCGCGAAATTTATCGGTCACTGTTATCGTCCCCTTCGTTCCTAATCTACAGAGCAGATATCTACGCTAAACACAAGAGAACATATCCTTCGTCTGCAATAAGACGCTTCTCATTGCTTTTTAGTACCTCTTCCCGGAGAAGCAATTAGATTTATCAAGCATGCATATAATTTACTGACGTTATAACTACAATATGGGGCCAATTTAACAATAAATACAACTCTTACAGTACATTGGGCGTATATGGAAGAACTATGATTTAAAAATCGTTATAAATCTTTTCAAATTATTGATTAGAAGTGGATACACATATTTCAAATATTTCTATACGAAAACATTAAAAAAAAAATAATAATAATTAATTAACATCTAATCTTAACCGGCAATATAGTGCAATGATATTATATAAATAACATTATTTCAAATTTTTGGAATTTATTTTAATTATCGAAGAATTCTTGTTGTGTGTATATAAGTTTAGATACTACTTGCGTATATTGTTACCGTTAGAGAATACATGGATCTCGCTTCTTATTGGATAGGAATTTATGGCCATAAATTTAACCGGTTGAGACGGTCGAGAGGTTGAGCTTCCTCTTGGAAGTTTACAATCCCTCATTCTCTCTATCCTGTAACCAACATCCGCTCCCTCTCCCACTCGCGTTTTCCTCCCCTTCTCGGCACGGAAAGCACGGTACTTTACAGACCATGGTAGATGTCTATGATGAAGGTGTGCACATTCTAGGATACACCGGGCTTGTAACGTAACGATGTAACGGGTGAGCATTGCACTGAAATCATGATGAATTCATTCAGAGTGCGAATTAACATCCGGTGGGGAGTAAGTTTCGCTAAATGCCCCGGAAGAGAGAATGCATGCGAAACCGGCGATCATCAATATTACATCACGGTAAACCAAAGTTGAGATTTAGCAAATTTTGTTTGCTCAAGAAATCACTAGAATTTATTAACCGTTTCGGCTCCCTCCTGTGCGCGGTCTAGTTTGTTATAAATATATAATAGTTCCATATTAATTTTATCAGTACACATCTCTTTATTTTATATTATGATTATGTTTATTAATTAATATATTTTCGTGTTGTGTTCTCTCCGTTTATTTGATGTAATTTAATTATTTAATGCTCTTAGAAGAGTAGGAAAGAGGGAGGATAATATATGATTTAAAGTAATTTCGGAGTGCATCGAATACTGATCTTGTTAGATAACGAGGATTTTAATTAAAATTACTGCAATAATAAAGATATTGTAAGATTTATGCGCACATTAAGAAAAATTATTTTAAATTTGAAAAGTCGCATAATAATGAAGAAAGATTGTCAGAAGTATCGCGGTAGTCTATGTTGAGACATAGCGTGAGCGTTATAACAACAGTTATCGTTTCGGTGTCATAAGTATGACGTTTCTCCGCGCTGTTCTTGGTTCGTTTTTCTCATTCAATCAACTAATAGCCTGCAGGATGAAGAGCACGATAGAACAGATCACGAACACCCGGTAGACAATACGTCTTGGCACTCGTAGGTCATTGTGGCGTTGAAAGGGAGTAACTTATAGGGGCATTGGGAATTACCAGTTTATTATTAGGGAGATAGCATAGAGGGCCAAGATCAGGGGTTGCTGTTAATTCTCCTAACACTTGGCTCCCTGGAGAGAACACGCTGCCTTAAGACTTCCTCCTTCTCGACTCACCCCATTGCGCGGCCGACATCTTGAATCGCTGCCGTGTTAATTAGTACGACTTTAAACGCGCCCGCATGCGGTAGCAATCGGGATTCTCTGAAATGATTTCGCCACTCTCTGGAAGATATGAAGTTTCATACGTAGTCTTGGGATAAAAAATTCTAGTAAAGAATTTTCATTTTCCAGCATAATCACATACATTATGTTTTAGTTAATACGACTCGTGCTTGCATTTATGTAAACAAAAAAAAATTTATTTTAAATTTTGATCTAAATTATTTTTCAAGTAAAGCATATTTAAAATTTGACGAAAACTAATCACTCAAAAACTGATTTTGGTTAAAATGTTGGAATTAATAATTTTTATATTTCTTTGCTTTTGTTAATATATTCGAGTCTATTAAAAGTATTCGGAAAAATGTAATTTAAAAATGGTACAAACATATATTTATAGAAAGAGATATATAAAATCATATATAACTCTAACTTAATTATTTAGTATTTCGGATACTCTCTCGTTCTCCTATACGAGAGAGGAGAAGATAAAATATCTTTCGCCACCCTCTTTAATCCGGATACGAAGGTGAAACATTTTCGGAGGCTTGGAAAGACGAGTCGGCGGGGCTTTGACGTATGGAAGATGTCAGTTGCGGGCTGGCACGGTGGTGTCGTCGATTCGTCTTCCCTTTAGCCGCCACCTTTCGCGAATCCTTTCTGTTCCGCTATCCTTTACGTTATATAAATGGTGCCCGCGTCTGGTAGCCGCTGGCAAAATTTCGCTGGCCTCGCCACAGATTGTTCTATTTTCGAGGCACTTCGATTTATCAATTGGTTTCTTCGGCTTTCTCTCGGCAAGACTGGATATTCTAAATTTAATTGACACATGTTAGTGGCTAGCCGAATAAAAATAAAATATTAGAGTACTGTTACATCTTCGAGAATCGCTACTAATGTTAATGTCGCTCTTTGCACTCTGCCATTAATTTTTTTCTTGTGTCAATAAAATTTAGGAAAAATATAGAAGATAGATTTATAAATAATAAAATTTAGGAATTTGACAATATTTTTACTAAAGAAGGTTTACATTAATTAAGCAACTTCTGATATATCCATGTCAAAGTCTGATCTATCTTTTTAGTCTTAAGGGAGAAGCGATATCGATAATATAATAAACGATTGCGTTTTTTTATAATATGAATATAAGGACGATCAGAACTGCGACGTGTATAGATATTTATAGATTCTCACGTGTCGAAAAGTTCTCGAGAAGCAGACCTTAGCTCTTTTTCTCAAAAGGCCGTAACGAGGTCGACTGGGCTAACTATGCCAATAAATCAGCAGCCTTAATGAAAATGTGGCGCTATCCGTTGCAAGAGCGCTGAACGAGCGATCCTCTCTCTCGCCCGTTCGCCGTTTAAATGAAATGAAAAGAACGTGCAGCACTGGAAAATACCCTCCTAAAAATATCAAGATAAGAGCGAGTCGGCGATGAGGAATCCTGTCCGGAATGAGAGATGGGAGTAGCTCGTTTCGTAGGATAGAAAAACGCGCGTAATTACGAAAACGCGGTATTTCTATGAACCTTGGACAAATCGGTTGCATATCCGCTGGTAATTTATGCTATAACGTTATTAGAATTTGGTTCAATATAACAAATATCTTGACTTAAAATATTTATATGCATACGTCGCGCATATTATTATTGTTTATATAATTTAAAAAATTTTTAAAGTTATGATTTAAAATTTTTTAATCTAAATATTGTTGACGCAATATGTGATATCTGCTCAGTTTTAAGTAAATAATAAAATAATTAAAACATCTACTTATTTTCTAAAACTATTTAAATAAATCAAGAAAAAAATAGAGAGAGGGATAGAGAAAGAGAGAGAGAGAGAGAGAGAGAGAGAGAGAGAGAGACAGCGAGTCGCCGGACGATTAATCGAAATCGTCAATATAATTTATAACTGATTGTGAGAGACCCTCGACAATTCATACGTCGCATATCCATACACGCTCGACTGTTCTTTGTATTGACCCACCCACACCCCCATTCGCGGAGTATTCGTCTCAGATTGCTCTCAACTTTCGTGGCCGATCGTCGTCGGAGGAGACAAAGAGCCAAGTCGAGCGTCAAATATCTACCTGCCTGCTTCGACTCGTCGTCGAGTATCGTCGAGAATCAACGGATCGATCATGCGGCAGCGCGTATTGCGTTTCTGTGCGACGCGGGGTCGTCGCGGGAACGCAGCGCCCTGAGAAAGGAAAAAGGGATCCGCGAGCGAGGATCTCGGACGGACGGGACTGTCAGATTGATCGCGCATTCATTCGCCTGGGCGTCACTGGAGGCGTATCGGCACGACACATCGTGGCATGTCGCATGTCCCGACGACGTGCCGAGAGGTTGAGAACCGCTCGATTTTGTATATTAATCTCCCACGTCTTTCCTTCTCTCTTTCTCTGTACGCCTCAAATTTGCACGATGGAAAGACACGTTTCTCGCGGAGCACCGTGTAGGTACCGCACGTCTCTCGTGTCATGTGCTCGCTTTGAAATTCGATCCGTTTACACATGTCATGAAATACATTAAAATTGTTTCATCTCGATGTCACGAGAGACCATTTCGTTACATCGTGCAAAAACTCATCAATGTACTATGTAATATTAATTAATGTGTAATATCGCTACAATGTCTTCCGTATTTCGTTGTAGTTATTTGACGAGGAAATTTTTATTTTGTTTATTATGTATGTGTATACAAGTTACAATTGTTATAACTATAATTATATATTTTACATAGAAACGCGCTTATATTTTATATATTGTGTTTTTCTTATCTTACAGATAACTTATGACAGGTGAATGTTCTATCCTGGACGGAACAATGACTTCGGGTTACTTTGCTTTGCCGATTAATATGGACAGAGTGTGCAGGATTTGTCTCACCGAGGGTACTAATCTATCGCCGATCTTCTCAGCTAATCAAGAAGTAAACAATTTCTCAGGTCTCTCTCAGAAGATACAAGTCTGCGGTTCAATCGAGATACATGAACAGGATGGATTACCTTCTTTAATATGCGACGTTTGTATTTATAAGGCGAGCGTTGCGCACGAATTCAGACAACAGTGTCAACATTCTGATACAAGATTACGCATGTACTATAATAAGCCTGCTAAATGTAATATCACGGTAAATATCATTTTGTCATCGCGTATATCTGTGTTGACATATATAATATATATACATATATATATATATATATATCATTTTCTAGGATTCTTACACACAGACGGATCTACAAACGAGATTTGTGCTATCGAAAAAGGCAGATCATATTGAAGAGGATTATTTTGTGAAACAAGACATGCAGGTCGTCGCAAATCCACAAGAATATATCCAATCCACTGACTCGTTTTCCAGAGGCGAAATCAGTCTAAATACCAATCAAATTCATATGTCAGATGACAAGCTGTTTATATGTTCTATTGGATTTGAAGGGAGTAAGGAGGAAGCGAAGGATTCTTGCATATCAGAGAACGAGGTTCACCAGATGACAATTGTGCAGGAAGACGCACAGGAAGATGCGTCTAACATTATGAATCTACAAAATAAAGATGACGAGATCAAGGAAGTTGATCAGTATGTAGAGAAGGACAGTACAGAACAGGAGGATTTTGTCAGAATAAATAAAAAAAAAAATAGAGAGAGAGATAGAGAAAGAGAGAGAGAGAGAGAGAGAGAGAGAGAGAGAGAGAGAGAGAAAGAGAAATAAAAGAGAGAGATAGAGAGAGAGAGAATAAAGACAATTATTCTATTATATTTTACAAAATTGTTGACATTTTAAAATATTGTGGGTGTTGTGTATTAAATTAATCGAAAGCATTCATACATGACATGATTTTTAAAGAGAAAGGAAAGAGAAGGAAAATAGATATCGTATAAGAGTGAAAAGCATTCTTTCTCCGTTGTAAAGATATAAAATATGACGTAGCATATGCCACTCTACGCGCGGTGGTTACATACGTGTCCAACATGTATAATGTCACATACGTGTGCTTGCTATAATTACGACGGCCGCGAGCGTACCTAAAACAAGTTTGTAATCGTGAAGAATGAGCGAAGACGACCCTCGCGGCTGTGCGGCAAATAGGTGAGTCCGATAATATATGTACAATATTTTTAATTGTTGACATTAAAATGTGCTCCCTTGGTTTTTTCTCGTTAACGTGACGTTGGAGGGTCCGAAAACTGGCTCGCGTCACGTTTTTGGCCGAGCCCTCCGAGTTATTTATTTCACGCTTAAAGAATCACCCACATTGTCCATACATACCGCCGTTGAGCACCGTCACATGTAAACGACTTTGGACAGACTGTCTTCTGCATGCATGGAAAAAATCTGACGCATAGCGAAAGATTCGAAAATATTATGGTAATTAAACAATGACGGGAGTTTCAAAAAACGAATAATATTAGTATTATTGATTATATATATTACATAACCGTCTTTTATGAAAATAATATGAAGGATAATGCAAATATAAATCAACTTTTTTTTTTATATAATATTGTTACAATTTGATATTATTATTTATATCTGTTTTTTAATACTGTTTAGCATATAATATACTTATACTATATTTGCATATTATTATTTGCATTAGCTATTGTTATAAATAAATAGCGATCAATCGTTTTGGAAAACGCGATTGTCTTTTGCAAGGAAATCATATTTCGCCGTGGTTCGATTATGACGTTCGACTTTGCTATTCAAAAATTATGTACCCTTCGAACATCGTTCTGTACGATTACGTAAGATACGATCGAAAGAAACGAAATCGGAGGAGGCTATTGTCGAGACGTATTCATATTTGGCTCCTACATTTTGCATGTGATTCGTACACAATGCGGTCCATCGGAAGCTGTCGTCTACTACTTCCGCTATCTGACTGCGGCACGTCTGCCTGTCTGTTTTCCCCTTCATTCTCTGTCCCGACGAAATTCCGCATATATTTATTTGGTCCTATGGAAAAATATGAGACCGTTTTTCGGCGAGTTCTCCTGTGCGTTTAACATTTTCTCCATATCGGGAAAGTGACTCGCGCGGAAAATAAGATTGGTTCCATTCGCAAGGAATAAATATTAATTTATCATATATATCTTTATCCTCTTCAGTTTCTGAAATTTTTATGATAATAGAATAAACATTCAACTTCTTTATACGTAGTGTTGCGATTATTAATTTATCTATATTACATTATATATATGAACCGAATATTAATTTTAGCAAAGTATCTCTCCCCACTGATTATAATAAATCTAATATATCTAAAAGTATTACGGAAAAATAATGAACAGATTGAAAATGAAATCCCGACGTTTGCGTGAAATACGTCGATCATGCGACGTAAACGACGTATCTACATCTTTATTAGGGAAACACGTGTGGTTCAAAAATGTTTTACCCTAATTACGAGACAATCTTGATTAAATATATTCTAGTACTAGTAGATTTTCACTTGCCTTTCTTCCTTCCCGCCGCGCTCTTCTCGCCGCTATCGCGAACGCACACATGCGCGCACAGTTGTCACGTAATGGAATATATTTGTTACCGTGATATGATAACGGACCGTCGTAAGTCAGGTAGTCATATTAGCTCGGAGAGATTCTAGTCGCGAAGCATAGCGTGATTTTTCAATTTATTAAAGCCGACGCACGGCTTATAGAACTACCGCGACGAGCAATGTAGATAAGGACGAAATTTATGGTCCACCTATTGGAAATGCGATGAGTGCCCTCGCTAATGAATCGAATTCAGACAGCTGTAGATCTAAAGAAGTTGTATTGCGCGTGCATAAATCAAGAAGAAAGCACAGCAATAATCGGCTAATGTAGCCGGAAGTGCGTACGTTTCGCACTTTATCTCCGTTCGATCTCATTAAGTGCGAGTTCTCCCGCAACTTCGTCGATGCGATCGAATCGCTCTGTATCAATTGTCGCCGACACCTTGGCGAATTTGAGCTTAATTACTTTATTGCGAACGTATCGTCGGGGAACAACTCGAATTAGGGTGCGCGTGAACTATCCGAATTTGTAACGTGATCGCGATAATCATCTATCGTACAATCAGATTGGTGTGAGTAGTTTTTTGCAGGCTGACGTTAAGTGCGTTCGTGTGATGCTGCGAATCAATAAAATTTATAATATTTGTTATTTAAATACAGTTAAATCATTAAAGAATGTTTTGTTGTAAAAGATTGAAGAATTAATGGAATTATTTGATATTGCCTGAATTTTTTGCTTTATTCTATATCAATATGTTTGTCGATTTTTCATGCTATGTATATATTGATTATCGAATTGTTACATGCACGCGCATGTAAAAATGCACATTATATAAGAGGTAACTCCGGTGCTTTATCCACGGAATGCAACAACGCCTTTCATTGCCGAAGTGCTGCGTACTTGTGGGCATATGAGAATGACAAACGATCATGGAAGGGTCGATCGGGTATTGGCATGCCATGTACGCGCAGGGTTATATAAATGAATCGCGTCCCCGGGGCCGTATCTTACGGGAATACGAAACATTAATGGACAGATGCGTTTTTGCCGACGGGAATGAATGGCCCGTGGCCGCGTGTCGATTTATCCTCGGCGAACGATTCTGTCACGTCGAAGGTACGCCGCGAAACCATTACGACGGAAACATTTTGATTATTTTTTCCGTGAAAAATGTTTCCGCAATCGCGCGTCCATTGTCCAGACACTGTTCCATTAGAAGAAAAATTAATGTGATTAATATGGAACAAAAATAATTCATCAAGTCATGAACGTTTTGCGTGGAAACGAATGGTAACGATGATTGATGAATACGATTTCGAACTTTCCAAGAATCTTGAATTGAAATAATTTTTTTCGAGTTATTTTCTCGAGACATTTACAAAAGAATAAATTCATTTGCTGTTTGCGAAATATATATGAGGCTAAGCATTTAAAAAAAAATTTTTGCATCTGACGTGCTGAAAACAGAAAAAAATGCGCGGCACTTTTTGCCGAGAGAGCATTCTTTGTAGTTCAAAGGTTTCGCTCAAATAGTGCGCAACAATGCGTCGCGCACACTTCAAATTGCCAGCATACTCGAGAAAAAGAATATCTACGCCACGTAGACGAGGGGAACGTGTAGCAGTCTCGTGGTTTAGCGAGGTAAAGTACCTTTGGCGCGTAACGAGGGTTAGTCGGGTATTTGCATAATGATTGCAATTATTATTGTCTTACCGTGCGTAATCTATAATGCAGTTCAAACGATAACCGCCAATGCATCGGGGACACGAGAAAGGCCCGTTAACATTCCCAGAGCGAGAGTGCTGGTGCAACACGGTGGCCCTTTACTCATTAGCGAGTGTCGACGAGAAGACCAACACATTGCCAGATATCGGCACCGTTGTATGCTCGCGGTTATATATAGTAAATTAGCTGTCCTTAATGTCGTTCTTGTCGCGATCCGCCTGACAGTCGTGATTTAAACCGAGAAAGTCACGGCAAAGCGACGATTGTGTCATTTTATTTTCATGACCGTGTAATCATTCTGTCTTTCTAATCTCAATCGAGCGAAATTATATTTTTAGAGCCATTTGTCATATGTACATTTTGTACTAATATTGACGTTATGAAAATAATATCGTATACGTAAAATATTGTGTGTGACATGAAAATGTCAATAGAAAATTTTTATTCTGTTTTTTTTTTTTTTTATCAAAATAGTTCTTTAATAGTAATAATTGCAAGTGAAATGTTAATTTGATTTATACTATTATAATTTATTATATTTATTATAAAGAGTTATTATATTTTATTACATTTGTGCATTCTTAATCAGAATAGAATGGCTGTAAGAACAAATAAATTTTAACGAACATTGCAGACGCATTTGATACTAAATTCATTGTACTATACAATAAGAAAATTTTTTTTCAATATTTTGTTAGGTATTAAAATAGTTTTATGTGCATCATAAGACGCAGCAGTATTCTTTAATATTTTCGTAGAAGATTATTTCAGTGTATTCGCGAGATGCAAGCATCATCCCCGAGTCGGTAGGGTAGATACCCCCAGTAAGATCTAAGGGGTCGCTAGTCGACCGTTTTCTTATCGACTGGAAGCTCCATGCAAAACGGCTCGCTGACTCCCCGATAGAAAGGGGTAGCTGCGAATTGCCGCCGTCGATTTGAACGACTGCCTAAGATCCACCCCTTCGGGCGAACATTTGGCCGCGTGATCCCAACCGATTCCGGATAAATGGCAGACTCTATAATTGCATAAGTTATGATTGCATCGTATGTAACTGGATTGTTTCGAGGAATCAGTTCTTGCATCTCGTATTCTCGTTTAGGCATGATTGTTTGTCGATGCATCGCGCGATATCGAGAAAATGTTATCGCGCTTTGTTTTGCATTTCTCTAATGCAAGGAAAGGAGTAATAAAAGTAATCTACACCAAATATCGCGAGCCAAGTTTGAAGCTTGATGTGATTATTTTATTCTTTATTTATTCGATATTCGTTAAATATCTCACGAATAACTGTATGGTTAAAGAAATTTTAAATGTAGGGTTTTTTTATTGTGATATATTTTTCTTCTATTTCAGTTCTTTATATTGAAAATACGTTATAACGTTAAT